AAAAAGAGCAACTAAGGATTAGGTAGAAATGAGAAATTAAAAAGGGGTTGAATACCGGAAGAAAGAACATAAAGGGAAGCTGGGTTCTGGTACAATTGGAGTGTAATTGTAGCGTGTTCAAGGGCAGCAGCGCGCGTTGAAGCGCGACAAGTCTGAACGCTGCCTAAGGCGTACGTCACCTCCGGTTGCAGCGGGTACTTTCCCACAATCGCCGTGACAGGGAAATAATGCTCCTTACCCGCTCTGTGTTGTGTCAAGTGAACTACAACTAGCTACGAAAACGCCTGGTCCGCCCAGGATGGCGCGACTCCTCACCAACGATACACGCTATCGTTTCTGTGATTTGATACTTGTTGTAGTGCTGTATAGTTAACCAGTCGGCTCGCCGGCTGACGCCGGCGTGCCTCCTTCTGATACGGCCCGGCTGCGCCGGGCGGGCGCGGCTTCGCCGCGCGTATTTTCTTTCACATATTTCTAGACTCAACTGATATCCGCCTTTTGTTCTGTACTCCACTTTTTTCCGGTGTCTGAAGTGTTCTGGAACCGTTCTACAGAATTTTTGTCTGGCTCCGCCCCCAATTTTTGTGCCCCACAATCCTCACCGGCGACCCTCTGCTGACCTTAATCCACTTTTTTCCGGTCTTCGGAGTGCTCTGGGACCGTTTTACAGACCTTTTTGTCTGGCTCCGCCCACCTCGCAGCAGGCTCCGCCCACAATGTTTTGCCCCAATCCCCCACCGGCGAGCGCCTCTGCTGACCGGTTTTTTGTGTTCTTAGACCACTTTTTTTCGGTGTCTGGAGTGTTCTGGAACCGAGCTACAAACTTTTGAAATGATTACCCTGCGATTAAGGGCAAGCTCCGCCCACTGTGGGCGGGTCTCAACACACTTTGAGCGTGCCCTATATTCGCCAGATAGTTAGCCATTCTAATTCTACACTGAGTTTTTGCGACTTCCAAACACTCTCGCGAACAGGGTTACTGAATTTTGCGAGAAGCACCGCCCACCATGAGTACGCCCCGCCCATTTTGGACGTGTCTTCCACAGTTAGTCTGGCGCTGCCTTCCTAACGGGCCACATGACCCGACTCTCCCAAGTCCGTTTTCAGAGTAGACCGAAATTTCGGCGGACCAGACAAACTTACAAAACAAACAAAACAGACTTACAAACAAACAAACAAACAAACAGACGAAGCGAATTATATATATGGGGTGATGGTTTAACACTTCAGGTGAATCTGCTCTATCACGAGCCGAAGGACAGCAATATATCGCAATTTTTGGAGGAGATGATCCACGACCTCACCGACGACGAGCGCTACATACTGATGAGAGCGGATCGAGATCGATACGCGACGAAAATGCAGTTGTTTTTCGTTAACCATCGCGAGCAGTACTGTTTAGAAAGGTACTTGCGCATGTACACCTTCGACTGAATTTGATTTTATTGTACAGATCGGGTTTTAATAAAGTTTCGCATATTGGAAGAAAAATAGTAATAAGCTGAAGAACAAGTAAACATGAGTTGGAAAAGTATTACAAAACTAAGCTCATTCCCTTCTGACCTCTTACAAACCGTTGTCATTTCGTTAACCGTAGAAAGCAGACTTTCCATCGCAAGTCTCAAAGACAAGTGGCACGATAATTCTACAAGGTGTGTAGGACAGTACGCCTAGCAGGACAGAACTTCGTGTCTCTCAATAGACGCTACAGGATGTCTTTCCCAACGAAAGACACTGTTATAGCGCTTAACCATGCCCACCCTGGCGCCCACCGCGCTGGTTCACCCACGAGTGTCCGACCGACCGGGTACCGGCACATCATTTGTTGGGGATTTCGAATTACGTCAGTACGACCCCCCCCCCTTGGGGATGGGACGGTTGATGCCCCACCCCCAATAGTTCCCTGTTCTGGTCGATTGTTGACAGGGCACATCATTGGTTGGGGATTTTAGTCGAGTCTGTACGACCCCCCCCCTTTTTTTGGGGGTTGGTACGACCCCCCCCCCTCCAGCCCTCTGTTCCTCCTCATCGAATCGAGCCGTCGAGCGAGCGGGGGGGGGGACGTGGGCGGGGGGTGTATATAGTACGCGTGAAACAGGAGAATCACGAAAAGTTAACCACCGCTCCACAACGCCACAACCAAAAAACGACTTCCCGCCCTCCTTCAGAACGACCGTGAAGCGAGAAAAAATAACTCTTAAAATAAATTTTTCTTGCCTGAATACGACCCCCCCCCAATTTTTTTGGGAGTCGGTACTCTATCCTCCTCATCGAATCGAGCCGTCGAGCGAGGTGGGGTGGCGGGAAGGGGGGCGGGAGAGGGGGGGGGGAGGGTAAATAGCACATGTGAAACAGGAAAAGTCGCGAGACAATACGACCCCCCTTCTACCAATTCTCAGATTTTCTCCAACTTCCTACCGTTAGGTGGGAAGTATAGCACATGTGAATAGGGAAAACAGGGAAAACCGCGAAAACACAACGCCACAACCAGAGAAAAAGGTTTTCCCAACTGCGAATACGACTCCCCTCCCCAAAGATGACCGAATTTGAGCCCGCCCCCTTCACAGCGTCTATGAAACAAGAAAAATGAGTTATCAAAAAACTTTCAGGTCAAGGACGAACCCCCCCCCCTCCCAGCAACTAGATACGCACCCCACCTGTTGAGAATCCCCAATGATCATGCGCTCTGGCTGGTATTCTTATCTCTTCATTTATGAAGTACAACTGATATGAAGCGTTGTTACATGGACATATGAGGACATTGGTGCAGCCGTATCTATCAGAGAGGTTGTTGGCACAATGCCAACGGGAATCACTTCCGATAACGCGCAGAATAAAAGCTTTTTTCGCTCCAAAAAAATAAAAGCTTTTTTCGCTCCAAAATAAGTTTTTCGTAAGTCTAGTTGGGCTTCGCCTTTTTTCGCTTTACTATTTTCCCTCAATATAGCATATTGCAACTCCAAGTTGCAATTGGTCGGTCATGGGGGTCGATCTACCGCACATCAATGCAGACCCCACGCAAGCCCTCGGAATTGATTGACCCCTGGGTGGCCTTCTTGGACTTTGGACTTTGATCCCAGGGGTATATAAGGGCAGCGGTTCTCAAGAAAAGGCAGTTCTTTCTATTCGGCAATCCTCTATTCCAGTCTTCAGTTTCCGAGTTCACATTTCGTCTCACGCTCTCTCACCCCGGCCTGTACACACATTCGGGTTCAATACGCATGAGCACTCGCATAAGTTTGATTCGGTAATCCTACGTTGTTGTATTACTTTCCTGTTGCAGTATAACGCTATTCATCTTATATAAAATTGTTGCTCGGTTGCCTCTATTGGGAAACAGTTACACAATTATACCGCGTGGCACGACTACACTAGACGCATATACTGCTATAGTGGATAGTCTCTTTATCTGGTGCACTTGAACTTGAATGCAGGTGCGTTGTCGCATAGAATCCTTTTCGGGCATCCATATGTGGCAATGAACCGTCTGAGATGATGAAGAAAGGTAGTTGATGATAATCTGTGGATTACGTCGACAACGATGGCGCGGCAGTTGAGACACGTTATGAGCAAGAACCAGCATTTATTGATTCCTCCTTCGATAGATCTGTATTTCACTGGCCCCATAACATCCAGTCCTGAATTTTCGAAAGGATAGGCAGGCGGGTTCACGCGATGAGCTGGGTGCAGTGGGAAATCCGGTAATTTGAACGGTTTCGCCTTGAGCCTTTTGCATACGTAGCAGCGGTTGTTGATGACACGTTTGACTGTTGATCGTCCTTTCGGTATCCAGACAGACTGACGAAGAGCAACAAGTGTGCCACAGTGATGGTTCTTCTCGTGGACGTAGAGAATGTAGAGCGACGTGATGTTGCTTTTCCTCGGAAGGAAAATCGGTTCTTTCGCATCCTGTGGTAGAGCGGCTACAAAACGAAAAGGAAGAGGTTAGTTCCCAACTACCAACGCATAAGACTTTTTCATTCGTTTCTATTCGCATAAGTTTTCCAAAATTTTCTTCCGTTTTTATTCGCATAACTTTTCCACATTTTTCTTCCGCTTCTATTCGCATAAGTTTCCACATTTCTTCCGTGCCTATCCACATAAGTTTTCCACGCAAAAACTTTTGAAAAAAAGGGGGAAAATGTCCAGCAATTCGGCACCCATCAGACTCCGCTCGCAAAAAGGCCTTTTAACGCGATATTGTAATAACTTGAATGAAATAATCGAGAGATGCGAGGGAGATAGCACATTAAAAGGCTTTCTTCAAGTTCCACTACCGGCGATTTTGAACGCATAACTTCACTTGCGTATGAGCTGCAAGCTACAGCGCGATTACTTAGCGACCATCTTAGCAACATTTGTGAGTACTGTTGATTCACTATCTGGTTCGCTCACCAAAGAACAAGAAGATCAGGCCGTAGAGTACATGGAAAACGCACATACCGCAATTGATCGCGCTGAGCGGCTAGCTATTGAACTTGAAGCCAAACGCATAAGTATACGGGAAGTAATGCACACCGATAGGACACCCGCACCGAGAACACAGGGGCAAGGATTAGGGCAGCACGAAACCAATCCACCGAAGCTCCCCACCATTCCCATCCCGAATTTCGATGGAAAAATATGGGAATATGACAACTTTTGGACGCTTTTTCAAGATAATGTTCCATAACCAAAACTCGCTCACCAAATTTACAAAAATTCAACTATTTGTTGAGTGCGCTCCGGGAGAAGCTCGTGAACTAATAAAGCGATACCCAGTCACAGACGACAATTATATGTTGGCAATTGATCTCATAAAAAAGAAGTATGGCAACAAGGCGGAACTCGTGAGGGTACTGCAGAAACGCCTGGACAACGCGAAAGCAGACAAACCCTCGACCCAAGGGCAAAGGAAGCTACTGGAATATATCATTCCCCTGGTTATGCAGCTACACAAATTAGAAGTGAATCTGGACGGCTCGTACAACACCCAAAAAGTGTTGTCCAAGTTTACACCTAGAATCCAACGCAAGGTCCTTGAGGACCTAACGACCCAAGATATGTCAGGAAAATGCATGGAAAATGCAACGCATCGTTGATGCACTGGACGCACAAATAGCAACGGAGGAGCGCATCAACAGCATGGTGAGTAGTGACATCAACAGGGATACAGAACGCTGTAATGATTTCAAGAAGGGAAGCCAGGGAAAAATATCACACAACCAAAATTGCACATTTTGTGGGTCAATAGAACACAGAACTGCAAGCTGTTCACGTTACAGCACCATCACGGAAAGACGCAATTTTCTACAAGAACACGGCATGTGCCTGAATTGTGGGCGCGAAGGTCATTTCGCATCAAACTGCACAAAAGAGGGATGTAGAAACTGTCAAGGGAAGAAACATTTTCACGCATTATGTCCTCGGAGGCAAACGAATGTATCCCAGGCGAAACAGTTCACGCCAAGAACGCCAACAAAACCGGTAGGGGCCAAAACACAACATGGGCCAACGCAGAGAAATAGTCAAAATTCTCAAACACAAAAAACAACGCAAGCGCACCCGATCCAAATTGGTACCACAAGCCAAGAGGAACAAGACGCAAACAAGGCATGGGCGGACAATAATCCTTGACATTACTGTATCACACCAAGGAACGCCAAGGGAAAATGTGCTCCTTCTAACCGGAGTAGCGCACATATGGAATACAAAACGGCAAGAATTGCAATCGGTTGAAATACTTTTTGACACAGGCGCAGATCAGTCCTTTATAAGCCAGAGATTAACGGAAGACCTTAGGACTTGAGTGTGGGGAATTCCACAACTTAGAAATGTATACTTTCGGGGCGAACAATCCAAAAATCGCAAAATGCGCGGTGACCTCCATAGAATTGTGGGACAACCAGGGAGAAGTGCACAAAATGCGACTGTATTCAACGCCAATCTTAACCGAAAAAGGACAAATCACACAGCTCGGGCAAGAAGACATCGACTTCATAACGCAAAGAGGTATTCTCCTTCCTAATTTGATGGCATGTACTACAACTAAACCACAAATTCTTTTGGGCTGTGATCAGCTATGGGACTTGTTAGAAGTTTCCTCACCGCACTATACGCTTCCATCAGGCTTGAGACTTATACCATCAAAGCTGGGATACCTTCTCACGGGGAAACAACAATTGAATGAACTTCATGCAACGCACAGCCTTAACACTCAACCCAGCATGATTACAATGATCAAAACGCTAACCGAAGAAGAAAGAGATCTACAACGCTGGGATAAGTACTGGACAATGGATTCAGCAGGGATCTGTGAGTTCACAGGGACAAAGGATGCCGAAAAAAGGGCAATCAACGAAAAGGTCTCCAAGTTTTTCGATGAGACAATTGAGAAAAGAAGTGACGGGTACTACGTTCGCTTACCCTTCAAAGATAACCACCCCCCACTTCCAACCAATAAAGCTATCGCGCTCAAACGCCTCAACAGTGTCATAACAATGCTGAAGTCACAACCTCAAATTTTAGCTGACTATGACAACACCTTCAAAACCCAACTAGGAGAAGGAAATTATAGAAGAAATCCCAAAAGATGACTATGAGGAAGCGAGCATCACTCATTATATCCCACACCAACCGGTAATCACACCGAACAAAGAGACTACCAAGCTGCGCATAGTTTTCGATGCTTCATCACACTACAAAGATCGCCCGTCTCTCAATGACGTTCTTCACCAGGGACCTTTGATTCTCCCCGAGCTTTACGCAGTACTTTTACGCTTTCGAGTATCCAAGTACGTGGTAACTTCGGACGTAGAAAAGGCATTCCTCCAAGTCCGATTACACGAGCAGGGATAGAGACGTAACAAGGTTCTTCTGGGTACGAGGACTACAACAAGGAGCCCGAGGGAGATAATGTCATTACGTACCGCTTTACAAGAGTAACGTTCGGGCTTAATGTATCCCCATTCTTGTTGGGAGCCACCATACAATACCACTTACGCAATATGGAAGCTGACACCCAACTCGGAAATGAGATTCGCAAAAATTTGTATGTGGACAACCTTTTGTTGACTGCCGAAACAAAAGGTGACGCAATAAGCAAATCCGTAAACGCTAGGAAAAATTTTCAACGATATGAGCATGAACTTACGGGAATTCCTCTCTAACAGTGCGGATATCACTACAGCGTTGCCAGATGACGCATGCGCCAAATCCAGGGCTCAGAAAGTACTCGGCATAAAATGGAACAGTGAAAACGATACACTTTCTATCCGCTGTGATATTCCAAAGACAACCAATCTAACAAAGCGCATAGTGGCTCGACAAATAGCCTCCATATATGACCCCTTTGGGTGGATGGTACCCTTACTTACCCAATTGAAACGATTCCAACAAGACCTTTGGAGGCACAAATACGCATGGGATACAGTACTTCCACCACAAGTGCAAAAAGAATGGGAAACGCTCACTTCCAGCGCGCTCATGGCTTCGAAAAATCATTCGAGAGAAAATTCATGAATGACGACAATCATTGCGGCCTAGCAATCTTTGCAGACGCAAGTGCCATGGCTATGTCCACATGCGCTTATCTTTTCAAGGAGAGAGACTCAACATTAGTTATGGCGAAATGCAAATTACCTTCTCTACACGCAAACACCACAATCCCAAAAATGGAAATGAACGCAATCACCATAGCTGTGCGCTTGGCGCGCTCCATATTTAAAGCCCTTGAAAGCAATTTAACTCATAGACCCTTCAACATTTATATCTTCTCAGACTCTCAAATTGCGCTGTCATGGCTATCTACACCACCAAACTGCACAAATGTCGGGGTATTAGTGAGTAACCGACTTAAGGAAATACGCAATATAGTGGAAACCCTCAATGCTGCATCAGTTTCAGTTCATTTTTCTTTCGTAAAGACAACTGACAATCCAGCCGACGCAGGGACGCGGGGTCTGACAAAAGCACAACTATCAGAACACATATGGTGGAAGGGACTAAACTTTTTACGCCATCCCATCAACGAATGGGCTGGACCAACCTACGAACTCGAACT